TCTAACAAACAACATTTACTATACATAATAAGTCTAAATTTTAAACTTTTTAGAAAAACTTAAAAAAATTATCAAAATTTTACAACAAACTTTTTAATAAGAATACATACTGCATACTTAGAATTTTTGTTCTTGTATGATTTTGTTGCATTTTTCTACAAACTTTGAAATTTAGACTTATATAGTTTTATTAGATAATGAACTGCATTTTTTTAAAGTAAGAATTAAAACATTAAAAAAGCAAAAAAATAGTTAAAACAGGGCCAAATGTCGTTTCCCTATTATTTTTCACTTGACTATATATGTATTTATGTTATACACATAAGGTTGTGTTTTAATTTCTAATATTCAGTGCACACGAAAATTTTTGTTCTGTTGATAAAAAAATATATATTTATAGCTCGCCCAAGTCCTCGTAGTTTGTATTTCAAAGAAGCAAAAAACATCTATCTTGAAATAATAAAAAATTAGATTTGAATAACCTTTATTTTTATTTTTTGTTTATCAAGTTATTTTTGTTAGCACTGACTAAAAACGATTTTTTTGAAATTCCATTCACGTAAATATTGAGTTCTTGAAAAGATTTTAGTGCATTTTAAATGTTTATAAACATATCTAGTCCAAGTAAAGTGCTTTTATTCGGGAAATGAAAAGTTTATATATATGGAAGTAAGAGGTAAAAAAAGGCTGTGATTAATTAACAGATTGTCAGAGCAACCGTTATCATGGAAACTAATTTTCATTAGCTTTGGATATTTCCTCTTTGAAAAGTTGGCATCGAATACTATTTGTAGAATCGGCAAATCCATTAATTTATGTTTCGCGAAGAACCTTACTACTAAACTCGCCATTATTTTCGGTTCAAAGGTTTCACGTCATGTTGCAACTGACAACGTAAACGTCATCGGAAGTGTTCATTTTGTTCTTTACTATCAATTCGAAAATATTTGTTTTTTTTTATTCAGCCCTATTCTGCATTTCGATTACGTTCCCGCATTCCGCTCCGCTAAAATCGTAATAATCGATGATTATTATTGTCGCGTAATAATTATTTCAACGGTGTTTATGAAGTTTAACCACATTTTTTCAACAAATTTCAAGCAGTTCGGGGTGATGGAGATCAGACCAACTGCATCTGCTGGTCAAATGATTAAAAATGCCGAAGGATGTGAAAAGTGGGTTACTATTTGAGTTTTTTCTTTTGTATGCCTATTTTACTTTGGAGATGTAAGATCTCAAAATGACTATGTATAGTTTTTCTTTATTTTTCAAATCTCCCCTCTCTATGTCTGTGTGCTGAGTAAAATGTATCGAACATCGACAACAGTGCTGCTTTTTTTCCANCGAAAACATCTTCGAAATCAGCTGGTTGCCTAGGAATGTGTGAAATCGAAACAAAACAAAAGAAATAATTGCACCAAACTATAGCAGCTTATGAAATTAAAATTTGCAAATATTTTAAAATAACTAAATATATCTAGCTCATTTTAATTTAAAAATAAAATTTCATTTGTTCTTAATTTAAGTAGAGACATAATTTTATTGCTTGAAGAGCAGAACGAGTTCCAGATTGCTGATGCGAAAGCTGAAAGGCGGAGATTTAGAGACATGTTTGATCCTTTTCAGATGAGTGAAGAATTATAAGAAATTTATCATATTTGAGCAAATTTTTCGTATTGCCCGTATTGCTGCTCGCACAAACACAGAAATCGAGAAATTTCATTTATGATTACTTTTACAATCTTGCACAGTATACAGTGAAACCTCTCCTAACGGACACCTCTATTAGACGGACATCTCCCTTGGACGGACATTTTTCCTATACCAAGTTTTAAGTATAAATTTCGGAACAAATTACTCTCTCTTAAGAGGACACTCTCTTGGCCGGACGCGGACAGTTATTTTGCATAAAATTTACACAAAAAACTCTATTGAGCGGACGCAAACCTCTTATCAACGGACATTAAGATTTCTTTTCATAACAAATCAAACAAAAACTCCCGTTGAGCGGACGCGAACTCCTCATAGTCGGACTACTAAATGGAAAAAGGGGACTTCCCGCATAAAATGTGATTGTTATGCACACATTTAGTTTGGTTTGCGCAGTGGTTTAGGATCGTTATTTGAATTATCAGAAACCCTTGGAGAATCCAATTCCAATTCTGATGAATTTATAACAATAGATAATAATAAATGCATGGACCGAAAATTTAGATTTCTGGTAGGATTTTGTTACTGATAAAAAACATGAAAACTATTGATGAAAAAGGTACTGACACTGAAAAAAATTAGAAATAAAACTTACGTCAATCGACAATTTCCCAGTTTTTTATGTAATGAATCTATGGTTGTATGTAGTTTATGGACTGAAAATATAATATTTATTTTTATTTTGTTATTACTTAATATGTACTTACGCACATAAATGAAATATGCACTTTTGAAAAAATACCTGCACATTTTTGTTCAAATGAGAAAAAAGTGACTATTCAATTAATTAAAACATTAAAAAGTTCTAAAATAAGCTTCCCTCCCATTGCGCGGACACCTCTCTTGGGCGGACAAAAAATGACTGACGGTGAGTGTCCGCCCAAGGGAGGTTTCACTGTATTTCACTTAATTTTTTTTATAAAGTTTTAATATGTAAACTCATGAAAATAACAATCCGTTCCGAAAATAACGTTCTCCGTCAGCAAATTTGCATNTTAAGTAGAGACATAATTTTATTGCTTGAAGAGCAGAACGAGTTCCAGATTGCTGATGCGAAAGCTGAAAGGCGGAGATTTAGAGACATGTTTGATCCTTTTCAGATGAGTGAAGAATTATAAGAAATTTATCATATTTGAGCAAATTTTTCGTATTGCCCGTATTGCTGCTCGCACAAACACAGAAATCGAGAAATTTCATTTATGATTACTTTTACAATCTTGCACNTAAAATGTATCGAACATCGACAACAGTGCTGCTTTTTTTCCAATGTATCTCAAAAGAAATTCAAATGTCGAAATTGAACGTAATTCCCTATTCGCGAATTATTTGAGAAAGACATCCAACATCAAAATTCCGGCGAAATGTCATTAGTTCTCTCCCAAGAGAAAAATATCCAAAATAATACGCGCACAGAAAATTTGCAGAAAGTTCGAGGAACAGCTGATAGAAATTTTGTTTACATTCAAAAGTATAAAATTGAAAACGTAAGAAAACAAATCCCGAAGTCTTATCCTGACACAATTCAGTGACTGAACAACGAATAACTACTTACTTCTTACAAGTTTAATTAGTCGTACTTTACTAATTATAACTTCCAAACCATCAAATTCTATTTAGGGATTTGAGTAAATTGCAGTGCAGATGGCATCAATTTTTTCCAGCAGAAACTAGCAGCTTTCGCCTCAAAATGAAATGTCATTTTGCTCTCTCAATTTCCCCTACTTTGCAAGTTTTTTGAGTACGAGTATTTCGGATATTGTAAATTCATCCTCAATTATGTTACAGTAAAATGGGTTTATGAGGTATCGGAAAATCTTTTTTCAAAATGCTTTTAAATTATGTGCAATAATTTTTTTTTAGTCATGGAAAATGATGAAATAGTATTTTTTTGAGTTTAGCTTCAAAACTTAAAGTAATTTGAGACAAATCAAAAACATTTTTTTCTCTCCATGTAGGCACGAATTCAAGCTTTGCAAATGTTCCATCATATCGGTAAGGAAGCCAATTTTCAATCTCCCATTGCAGGTAATGTTCCGATCCCAATTTTCGTGTGTGTGTATATAAAGAATAAAATAAAAAACAACACAACGGAAATAAATGTCTAGCAAAGAAATATGTATTTTAAAAAGTAAAAAAGAGCCAAAATGTGCTAAGCAAAGGGAAAGTAAAAACCAAAGAGCCGCGTTTGCCCCCTGTTGGTCTAGAATATATACAATTGTATTTGTTCGTTTTTAAAATCTTAGATCTACAACTTCAAATCGATATAATGATAACAAACTTTTACAAATCCTTTGGTATCTAATCATATTTTGACCTGCCTAAATGAATGCAATTGATCTCATTTCCATCTCTTTTTGAATGTTGCACTGCGCTTATCGACATACGACTTGTACCAGGTCATTTAAAAAGTCTGTGTAATTTTCTACTCCGTCATTGAAATAGATTTGTGACTAATAATTTATTTCAAATTTTAAACTATTCTTACCTGATTAAAAATGTAAACACATATTAGGAACTGAACTTAAAAAAAAAAATCACCAATTCCCTTGCTAACCCCTAAAAGCACTATTACCAACAACTATAAAAACTATGTAAGTAAATGAAAATGTTAATAATAATAATAAATTTCTGTATGTACTCTAAGATTACTTCACTAAAATAAACTACAGCAATTTTAGCCTCAGTTGATTGAAAAAAAAAAACAAATTAACTGAATAACTTTGCAGCAAAATATTGAATTCCGACCTCCTACAGAATTCGTTTACATTGGCTAAATTTTTGCAATGTATTTTTATAGGAAAACCTTTCGCTACTCCAAAATATATATATATACATATACATACATATATGCATGCAACGTTTGTGTAAATAAAAATTTGTTTTAGCTGCTGTGGAAGGTATGTATGTATGTAGGTTCGCATATGTGTGTGTGAGTGAATTGCATCTATAAATTGTTACTGCATAAATAGGCATTTTTGTATGTACATATAAGATTCACTAAATGCATTTAAAATGTACGTATGTACGTTTGTATCATCAGCCACTAAACGCTTTGCAGCTGCTAAAATAGCCCTATTTGTGCATTTATAAAATGCGGTCGTTTCATATTTCCAACAAATTTTGCGGTGATTTGCGGTATACCTAGTTATTCCTATTGCTACTTTCTATAGGTGTGTATATGTATGTTTATTTCCTATGTTTATGTATGTATGTATACACATACTTAGGTTTTGGAATGTTTATGTTTACTGCTTTGTAGTTTGTATGTTTTCCTTTACGTTTGAAGCGCACGCGCGTGCCCGCCTACATATGCCTGAGGCGGCAGCGACAGCGTTGACGCTTAATCACTATTTTTATCCTGAATGTGTTTCATTTTTAAATTTTCCTTCATTTACTCTTATAAAGTTTTACCCTCCAAACTTATGTATGCACGTTAATCCTACATTTCCCTTTAACTTAATACTTTTGCGCGCCTGCTCAACCATTTGGATCGACATTTGGGCGTCGATGCGCGCTACTAAAAGCTACACTAAACGTGCTGCTACTGCTACTGCTGGGCACAGACGCTGCGGCTGCGGCTGCGGCAGTGGCTGGCGCTGCCGCTGTGAGCTGTGGTGTATTTGTGCACCATGGATTGGCGGATGTCGCAGTGACAGTCGCACTGGTCGATGCAGCAATCGATCCGAAGGCAGGAACTATGGAATTGTGTCCGCGGCTTGGCGCTGCTGAACTGCGTGGCTTCTGCTCCGCAGACGATTTCGTCAGCTTCACAGCATTGCCGCGTTTCGGCTGAGTGGCAGGACTAATTAGCGACGAAGAAGTATTCTTTTGAGGGGCGGGCGCATGCATGGTGGCAGTAGTTGTTGCTAGCGTGGCTGGTTGCTGATAAATGAAACGACATAAGTGGTGTTTTCCCTGTGAAATATTAGTAAAGTAACTTAGCACTCACCTGTTCGGAAATAGTGTCCCTTGTAGTTCGTGTAGCACACGCTGGCGCTGAGCAATCGTCTACGGCTCTCGCCGTTGCTGCTGCCTTGAAACCATTAGTTAATGCCAACGCCACGGCTGCTTCGCTAGTTGGCGTCAGTGTTGCTGCCACCTCCTCGTCCGCGAGCAAACAAATCACATCATTCGATTTGGAATGTTTAGAGTAATTTGCATGGAACTGTTTCTTACTGCTATTGCTACTACTACGACTACTGTTAGGACCGCCGGCACCGCTGCCGACACCACTACCACCGCAACTGCTGCTGCTGAGGCTTCCGCTCCGCTGTTGACCAGCTACGCCAAGCGTCAGTGTTGTAGGTGGCGTTGAAATAAACGGCAGCGTATTTGGCGGTACGATATAACCGCTCGCACCGCCTACGCTGCACGCGCCACCGCTGTTGGCATAATTACCTGAGGAACTATGTTTGCGCAGCGCTGTTGCCACTGTGTTGGGCGGCGTCTGCTTAAAGGGTATGAAAAATGGTTGCGCTCCATCTTGTGGCGGCTTCTCTGGTGTTGAGTTGCATAAAGGCATCTGCGACACATTCGCTCGACCTTCCAGCTCATTTTCGTTCGGCGCGCCACTGACATTCGGCTCCATTTCGACGGTAAGTTGCCGTCGTATGATTTTGCCATTACCGTTGCCATTTGGCAGCTGCGTAGTCTGGTACTCTTTTGCGCGAGTGGCATTTAAATCCAAATAGCCCCCGCTTTTCGGTATCAGCGTTTGCATTTCATGGCAATCTTGTTGAAAAGTGCTGCCGCTTAAGCCACCTGCGCTTTCGCTGGGTATGCTTGGATTATTCAAATTGCCAAAATTCATATCTGATGGCGAACTTAGATGTGTGGGACCCTGCGTCCGCGCCTTATAACGACGTCGTTGAAAAACGATCAGCAATGCAAATATGATCACACAGGCAACAGAAAGCAACGAACCGATTATGATGCCACTGTAAACTTCCGATTCGCTGGAAGGGCATTCAATTTCGAGCGAATGGTGGCTAATGCTGCGCAAATCGATAAAAATTGGAGCACCGACGCCGGTTTCACCTACAACGCGTACAGTTACATTGATTTTCGCCGTCTCGGAGATGTTAGGAAACTGTTGAAGAAAATATATTAGCTTAGAATATATATGATTTCATTTGCAGCTCATATTCTGCTTACCTTAAAGGAACACGAAGTACAGTCTAAAACATTCACCTCGTGCGTCACATTGCCCAACGTCCATAAAATGTTGTAGTGATGGATCTTCCCATTGGGCTGCAGGGGCGGATCCCAAAGAAGCTTTAAGCCATTGTGCCGTATAATTCGTTGATTGCTGATGGTGCCCGGTGCTATGGAAATTATTTAATTTATTACTTTGTGCCCAAACTCAAAAGAATAAAGTATTGTATCTCCGGAACTTACGATCAGGCAATGTCTGCTTATCCACTTGCCCATAGAACGTTTGCGTTTCACAGCTAAAGAAATTCACACGATAACGTTCCGATGGCTTGAGACCTCGTATCTCTACTTGCGAATTAGTTATTGGCAATTGATCGCATTTCGGCTCCTCTTTACGTATAATGGGGAATTGTATCTGCCAATGACACACGTGAACGCAAGATTCATTGAAACCCTCGCGGAAATGAAAGGTGAGCACTCGTGACTCTACAATACTTAAGCGAAATGGTGTATTGGCTAGCTCGTTAGTATCGTTCTCGACCTAGTTGGAATTAGAGTAAAGAAAGATATGAATTAAAATTCTTTAAAGAGAAACACGATTCTAATAGTTAATTAAAAGGTTGCGATTTTACTGCCACATTCAAAGATTATATTTTTTCCAAATCGTGTATTTACTATAAATAATTTGCCCTTGCATAAATTATATGTGTACGTACCTACATAAGTACATATATACTTTTTAGTCCGATACATTTGGATATATTTTCAAAATTTTTGCGTATACTTTAAGGGATTACGAATAGTCAGAATTCCCAAAATACTGAGTAATGATGCCCTCCATAAAGCAACTGTTTGGATTTCATCAAGTTGGCTTCAAGTCTGGAAAATTTTCCAAATATCAAATTTTCACAGTGCGTCAAATCCTGCACAAGATCGTTAAATTGATTCACTTCACATTTTCGTTGACTTAAAGCCGGTTTTGATGCTATAAAGGAAGCTTCTACGATGCTATGTCTAAATTTGGTATCACCGCAAAACTTAAACTGCCAAGTGACGTTGAGAATAATCTTCAGCTCATCCAAATTAGGAAAAACCTCTCACGCCATTTGAGACCAAGCGAGGTTTTAGACCAGACAACTCACTCTCTTGCGATTTTTTTTATCTGATTCTGGAAAGCGTAATACGGGCTGCCCATTTGAATTGCAGTGCCATCATATACATAGAACATATGATGATATTGACATCGTCGGCCTCAACACCAGGGCCGTCAATGCAGCCTTCTTCAGTTAAGAGAAGGAGGCAGAAGGTTGGTTTGGCGGCGAACGGCATAATGCTAAGTATTTCATAGAAACGCACAAATAGTTTCAGGTATTGGGACATAAATCACTATTGGCAGCTACATCTTTGCCTACCTAAGATCCAGCATTAAACACTGACATAAGACTAGCGGTCAAGCTAAGAATAATGCATCCCAGCCGGCTACTTTGAACTCATCTCTCTCATCCTTTCCGACTTTTGGGCACAGAAACACGGACGATTAGAAGACTTAAAAGGCATTCGGGAGTACCATTTTACGCAAGATCTAGGCGCTGTTTGCTTGACGAACTATATGCGCTTTATAATGGCATGGACATAGATAAATAAGTAAAAATATATGTGAACGCATGGATGATGATGACCGGTAAAAATATTCTTAGACTCCATACCCCATAAAGCCCTGTATGCAGCTTTCAAGAAAACGGTCAAGAAAAAATTGCCATTATTTCGCGTGTGTGTCCAAGGAATTTCGACATTTTTGATACCTCACAGCCTGTTGCCTCACTCTTTCTTCAAGAAATAATGGAACGGGCATATATTTCTGTTGCAAGCCTGGGTTGCCTTGTGCTCTTTTTACACAAAAAACTTTAGAAAACCGTAGTAGAAAGCGTAGTAAATTTCTTAAGAACTGCGTACTGCCTTAAGGATTTTTGCTTTTCTTGAGAGCTGCATACAGGCCTTTAGCAGCATAGAATGTTACTCATACGCCACGTACACCTGAGTAACACTGAGTAACAGGTATTTGTAGATGTGGAAGGATTTTATGGTTTAAAAATTTGTTCAAAATGACGGTCGAAATCGTGGTTTATAACTTTCCGTATTTGTGTATAGTTTTTATTAGAGCAACAGAAGCCAAATCACCAATTTTTAGAATTTTTGTCTGGCAGTCTATCTATCTGCCTGTATGTTTGTACGCACATCACTTGAAAACTAATACATGGAATTGAATGCAGTTTTCACTGTATTGCTAGAGATCTAACTTAAAATATAGAAAGAAAACAATTTGAGTGTTGCCACCTGTTTGAAAACTACAGTTTAAGTAAATGGATGAGAAAAGTAAATATTACAGTAAAGAAAGAAGTTTAACAAAGCTTAAAGCCGAAAATATTTTTGCGGAGGTGGCCACATGTTTGAAAATTTAATTCAATTTAATTGATAAGATAAATAAAATACTGCAATATGGGTATCAAACTGAAGAGGTTTAGGAAAGTTTACTGCCGAAAATATTTTGAGGATGGTCGCCACCTGTCTGAATCGAGCTCTCGAAACGCACAGTTATCGAAAATTATCTAAACTAGTCGATTTATTGAATTTTGTTGTTAACTTAATTTAGCCAATTTTTAGACTTAGTCAAGAATGAGCTGATCAAACGTAAGCTAATTTTTGGCTTAGCCTAAATTGAGTTAGAGAAACCAGCCCTTAGTGTTTTTGAATTTCAACGAATTATCGGTATGTATGTATTAAATTTTCGAAATTTATCGACAAACAGGAATGTAACGGATAAATTCCAAGTCCCACCAAAGACTTTCAACGAAATAAATAATTGTAGTCACGTTTTAGTTCCGCTAAAAAATTTTGAACCTTATAAGCTGAACGACATGCTAAGTTAGAAAACCTGTCTAAGGCTCTTAAAAAAATAANAAGACTTTCAACGAAATAAATAATTGTAGTCACGTTTTAGTTCCGCTAAAAAATTTTGAACCTTATAAGCTGAACGACATGCTAAGTTAGAAAACCAGTCTAAGGCTCTTAAAAAAATTAAAAAAAAACGGTCAGCAGTAACTGGCACTCGTAGTAATAAAAATATCACAGTATATTCTGTATTTATCAAGTGAGATGTTTGTGTATTCAAGTATTTTAATTGATACTAAACTAAACTAAATTTAAAAAGGACGTGTTCTACAAAACATCATCCCATGTAAACGGAGTCGGCAAATTTTGGCTATTCAACTCTGCATTCAACTTTGGATTCAACGAGCCGCCTGTACGCTTTTAGAGTACAGGCTCAGTACATGAGAACAAACCAACCACAGTTTATTCACAGTGGATTTAGCCAGTGCCTATGACTTTGTGCGCTTCATCAGAGCTACGAAGTGGCTCCATTTCTAGGGTAAGCGGAGGGACATATGGAGTCTCTAATACGGCATCACAACGGGCCCATGGTGGCCTAAACATGCCATTTTCCTGAGGGATAAGGGAAGCCGAGATAACCTAACCACAGTTTATCAATATTGCACTTACATTGGGACTATGAAGGATGGAATAACAAAAGGCTATTTATTTTGCTACCAATGTATGCACATATGTATGTATGTAGCGCATACTAAGGCGCATTCATATAAGGTGGTGTCACCAGAGGAGCTGATTGTGCCGATTGTCAAAACGATTTGTTTATTGTACATTTTTTGTGTTGTTATTGTAATCGTGCGTATAATTTGTTATTGTAGTTTTTTTTTTGTTTTTGTGCTGCCTCTATCGACTTGCTTGAATTCGCCTTGACGTGTGCGATATGCACTTCAGATTTCTTGTGACTTACCGTCTTCCATTGTACATAGCGAAAGTCTTGCCTGAGATGTTCATTTTCACGCGTAATAATCAGTACGCGCAATTTCATGCGTTGAAAATTTGGTAACAACACTCCCGTCACATTCGCTCGAACAACTAAGCTAAATAATTCCTCCTCCAACTCCACGTGACTATTGTTGTCAATATACTGCGCCTGAGCGCCTCTCAACACCGCGCGCATCTCTGCCTCGTTGAGCGCGCTGATATCACAAAGTTTCTGAGCGACATCCTGCGGCGTTAGATCCACATGTTGTGTGGTGCCGCGTAGCCTTTGGTTAAGCAGCTGCTTGGGATGTGGTTGCGTGTAATTAGAGGATAACTGTATTATAAAATACTTCTTGCCCTCCAGTTCGGGTTGCGACCAAGTGACAAAAGTGTCATTGCCCATGTGAACCAAATGTAAAAGTACTGCAATAAAAAGTGAGAATTGGAAATTAAGCAAAGCAAGAGGAGAAGGTATGCAAATTTGTTTAAATAATGGCAAATGACTCACATCCTTGAGTGCAGCATGTCACCGGTGGGCTGCGTAATGAGCTGAGTATTGTTTGTTGCTGCGGCTTATTGGCCAAACGTATCTCCGAGGTTGGTACAAGTACGCGGGTAATCAGCTCAAATGGACGGTAAACAGGTAGGTGGCTCGAAATGACCAAATGTGAGGTATGATTGAGTTTCATGGGGGCAAATGGAGAAATCCAGCGATGTGGATTATTCTGCACAATGTGCACAATGAAGAGCGACTGCGAGAGAATAAGAGAAATTAATAAACAATGCAAATTCGTAATGAAAATTTTGCACTTAATGTTTACCTCAAAAAAGTTGCTCTCAAAAGTCACATTGATCGTATTAAAGCTGAGCGCATAGCAGCGTATATTCTGCAGTGGATTTTTTAGTAACAACTCGTCGCCTTTGTTGCGAAAACGCAACTCTCCCGCGCTGTAAACCTCCCCGGCGAGATTGCGTGCAAAGCATTGATAAATGCCTGCTTCAATCGGATCGAAGGAGTGTATATGTAATTCGTTGCCAATGATGTAGCGTGTATAGGAACTGTTGAGAGGAACCCCGTTGTGATACCAGCTGATCACCGGCCGGGGATTGCCGGTGGCGCTGCAACGAAACTGCAACGAAGCGGTAATCAAAGTTTCGTACGAGACGAGCGGTTCGACGATCACCGGTGGGGAGGTAACGATCACATGAAAAGTCTGCGATAGAAAGAGAAAGCGTTTTAGTTTAACGAACTCTTTTTTTGTTAAAAATACAAATATCTAAACTCCATTTCTACTCAAAAATTGTTTGCGTCTATCCTCAAAGAGTACATCGGACTAGAGATGGGCGCGGGATATTGGACCCGCGGAACTCATGGTACTAATTTCTAAATAGCCGGAATGGTTTAAAAAAATCCGGAAGGTTTTAAAAAAATTAGTGGGCGGAATTAAAATTCTGTCGCGACACTCCCGATTAAGTCCACGACTTCTGAAAAGAATACAGAATAACCTGAAGATGCAGATCTTTCAATACGACGTAAATGCGTAGAGTACTTGAGAAAATGATGTACATAAATATGTATCCAATAAGGTGATTTATTGACTAGGGTTCTTCAATCGATCTTCCAGCGATATCTATAGGCGTTTCTTGAACCTTGATTTTTCGGATATCAAATACACCGGATCTTTTTTTTATCGCACAAGTCGGTTTTTTTTCATTTCATACCAATCTTGACCTCTCAATAAAAGTTTTGATTTTTCCGAAGTTTTCAAGGCATTTTTTAGGTTAAAGGAAACACCTATGTAAATAGTTTTTAAATTATACATACACTAGCCCAATAAACTGCTTGGGCTTGGTTAACAATTCGAAAATGATTGGAAAACTAATCTAGGTTAGTTAAGGTTAGTAGTCGATTCGAGAACCAGGCCATTTTCCAGCAAAACGGAACCTTCGTTATCCAATGAATTTTCCCTTCGTTATGAATTCGAAATCCTGCCCATTATCGAATTGAAATTTTAATGAGAGAGAGTGATTGTCTTATATTTCCATGGGCATAGCCAGATAGGGGTACGGGCAGGGGGGCACCCCCTNTTCGAGAACCAGGCCATTTTCCAGCAAAACGGAACCTTCGTTATCCAATGAATTTTCCCTTCGTTATGAATTCGAAATCCTGCCCATTATCGAATTGAAATTTTAATGAGAGAGAGTGATTGTCTTATATTTCCATGGGCATAGCCAGATAGGGGTACGGGCAGGGGGGCACCCCCTCTAACTTTCAAATTTTTGCCTAGATATTCAAAAATAGTACCACGAAATGCTTGCTTGATAATTTCGGCCCCCCTAAATTTCAAGGTTTTTCCTATATATATACTGTATAACAAATTATACTCCCAACGCTATCTAAATAATTAGTAAATTGATTTGAAAAGTAGATATGTGGATCATCCGGTTCTGTATCAAGTTATTATCTCTAACTTCAAAGCACTTCCATTTTAAAAGGGTAAAAACCTGGCTGCAGTCGACAATGAGCAAAAATTGATTGAACGGAAACTACAAATAAATTTATAGCTCAATTGTTTACTACTTTGTCTTTAGGTTTGTGGCTTTTCTAAGCGTACAACGAAAGTTTTGTGTCACAGAACCAATCTGAGATTATTGATAAAACTATAGACCGGTTGGGTGAACAGCCAAGACGTTTACTTCTTAAGTGTGACAAAACAAAATCAAGTAATATATTTAGCATAAATAAATATACCAGCCTAAAAAATCTGTATCAATACGACCTCATATTTATACGAATTTAAAAAAAATCATCAGGGTTTAGTTGAGATATTCGTTTTTGGCCACTATGTTTTGTACATTTCCCAGTACTGCAAATCTTTTGACTGCCATTCACCTGGGAGTGGCCAGAAGTGATTCGTGTGCTTACGGTTCAAATCGCAGCTAACTACGTCCGGATATTTATATCCATGAATACTCTGGGTAGCGACCGAACGCTAGTTTGGGAGCGAGGTAAAGTGGGAGGGCGTAACACCCCGCGTGCGCTGGGGATTAATCGGGATGGTGCCTCTGCCCGGCTGGTTGAAGTCCTAGGGAAAATAAAGGCTGACATCAGCTCCATCCACGAAATGCGATGGACGGGGCGAGGAAGGTAAGCATGAGCCTTGCGACGTCTACTACAGTTGCCACGTAAAGGAGTGCAATTCGGTGTTGGATTTGTGGTGGGAGAGAGACCGGCGTTCACTCAAGTGGACGAAAGTCTTGCCACAATCCGCACCAAAGCGAGATTCTTCAACATCTCATACACATGTGCCAATGCCCCGATGGAAGAGAAGGACGAGGCATCCAAGGTTCTCTTAGCTTAGAGCGTACATATTAGCGCTGCCCCCGACACGTATAAAAATCGTGATTGGCCACTTAAATGCCAAGGTGGGCAACGAAGGGATCTTTGGTGCCAGTGTCGAAAAAATCAGCCTCCATATAGAAACGGCGGGCTGAGGATGATCCACTTCGCCGGGGCCCGAAGCTTGGCAGTATGTATTACTGGGTTCTAGCATAAAAACATCCATCAAGCTATTCTCATTTTCGTTGTTGGTGTTTCCGACAGGGTAGGAGTGTGATGTATTGTGGAACGATTTTCCGTCGTCCCTTGTCAAATTTGGTTTGGAGACAAACCGGTTTCGGCGTTGTTCCATCTTCAGTGTCATTTTTCGTTCTCTCAAGCTACATGGATGTCTCCACATCGAAAAACGGGAAACCAAATCGAGCATGTTGTGATAGACGGAAGGCATGCTTCCATGTTTTAGATGTACATACGTACACTCCGAGGGCCAAACATCGACGCGAACTACTATATTGATGCATCCAATATACGGCCCAACCTCGGAGATGCAAAAAAAGGGACCCCAACAATACAGGGAAAGTTCAACGTCGAAAAGCTGCAATCAAAACAGACGGCCAATGGATTCGGCGCTCGACCCTCACACCTGCTGTGAGAGAGCACTCTTCAACAAACCGACTTGCGCGAGCAGTGGAACCACATTTCCCGCTCATTACCGGTACGATGAGGAGTGTGAGAAAATGCTTGAATTGCTGGCCGAGGCATAGGTTGCAAGGTCTTATCGAATGTATTGTCTACCATAGACCAGGTATTCACAGTACGCCGAATCTTGGAAAAGACCCGCGAGAAAGGGATCCGCACTCACCACCTATTTGTCGACTTTAAAGCTGCTTTCGACAGCACTAAAAGGAGTTACCTATATGCCGCTCTGTCTGAATTTGGTATCCCCTCAAAACTCATACGCTTGTGAAAAATGACGTTGAGTAATACCACCAGCTCTGCTCTGTTGCCTTTCGCCACCAGACGGGGTTTCAGACAGGGCGGCTCTCTTTCATGTGACTTCTTTAATCTGATGTTGGAGAAGATAATAAGATCTTCAGAACTGAACCGCTTAGGAACAATTTACTACAAGAGCGTACAATTGCTGGCTTATGCCGATGACACTGACATCATCGGTAAGAAAAACCGCGAAGTCTGTCCTGACTTTTCCAAGTTGGACAAGGAAGCAAAGCGAATGGGTCTGGTGGTAAACGACTACAAGACGAAGTATTTCCTGTCATCAAACAAACAATCAGCACATTCGCGCCTGGCACCCACGTCACTTTTGACAGTTATAATTTCGAGAAAGTAGAGAATTTTGTTTTCTTGGGAACCAGCATTAACACCGATAATAATGTCAGCATGGAAATCCAACGCAGAATCGCTCTTGCCAACAAGTGCTGCTTTGGACTGAGTAGGCAATTCAGGAGTAAAGTCCTCTCTCGACGTACGAAAACCACACTATAAATCACTCATCATGCCCGTGCTGGTATGTGGCGTATTAAAATAAAATACAGCGGCTCAACTGGCTTGACAATGTCGTTCGAATGGACACCGACGCCCCAGCTCTGAAAGTATTCTGGCTTCACTTGGCATTTCTAATAGGCGTCAGTTGGTCAAAATCGCTTTGGCGGTTACAGCGCCAAAAAGGAAGAAGAGGAAGAGAATAGATCTATAACCTTATCAGTCACACAGTGTTATAATCCCGACGAAATCCTTGACGTTGGTACCGGGAGGGGAACGGTACATGACGGTAGGAATTTTAGTTTGGGTTAAAGTCTCACACGGACGAGGTTAGGCTTTCGATGCTTCCTCCTCGTAAAATACACATTCTCAGTAAAAAGTTAACAATTTAAATCGACGAATAGTTTTATATCAACTTTTGTGAAATTCTGTTTATTTGTTTTTTGTACAACATATGTACCTTTATTGGTTACAATAATTTTAAGCTATAATAGAAAATTTTTTATTACATAAGTAAGTTATTGGTTTTGAATTTTTTATTTTGTACTAATTTTCGAACGTTCGCCAAAATGTTTAGGGTTTTCATAGTTCGGGACCTAAAAATTAAATGTCCGGATAGGCGCCATCGGGATTGAATATTTAGTCCCATGCCCATCTCAACATACATCGGCCATTTCCTACATTTCCTACAAAGGGATACTTTACTTGGCTTGTTGCTACAAATTACAGAAAAATACTACTTCAGCTTTTACAGGCCGGTAAATATAGGATTTGCTAACATTTCCAGCACATAAATAGATAGTAATATCAAATATTAAAATTTTCGAATTAATACACTTTTTTAGTTGTAATTTTTACCTGATTACTTCTTCCCGTAACGCAAGAGTAGTAACCTTGATGTGCCTCCTGGCTAGCTTGTTCTATGCTGTATGCATTGCTGTGGTTGCTGATCTTCAGTGGCGCGGCATTCAATGTTGTACGATACCACCACTCGATCGGTTGTCCATCAATTTGTTCATAGCAACGTAGCTCACAGTTGGCGCCTGTTGCTACATACTGCGTTGTATTTTGTAGACTGGGTAAAAGCTCATTGCGGCTTGTTGTTGTAGGATCCTCGTGGACATTTAAGGCCCACATAAATTGTCGATGAATCTTTGAGGCAAATTGATTTTGCGCCCCGCATCTGAGGGACGAAATCAATATGAAAGAGAAATAAAATTGAATTCAACTTATTAGACTTGACTGAGAGATTTTCATGAAGGTATAACTTAGGAAAAAACAAACACTATTATTCCTTAACTTTTTCATGTGAATTTATACTTTAAAAGACTTTGATAACAAAAACCTTGTTAACAATCTCCTTATTCAACAATAGCATGACTACGTTGAATTATCCCGAATACTTAATATAAAATTTGTCGATAAATTGCACTCAATTGTCAATTTTTGTACACACATATCGTCACCTGAAATGCAAAAAGTCATAACCGGTGAAAAATTCAAAATTCACTTTTTGATTTATATTATGGATTTCATCGAATTGCAACTCTCCACATCATTTTAGGGAAAAAATAAAAATATCAGTCACGACTTTTTCCATTTCAGTTTCAATTTAGTTACGTCTTTTTGCATTTCAGGTGACGATATGTGTGTACAAAAATTGACAATTGAAAAAACTAATTTTGGTGAAAATATTTTTTGTAACATTTCAAATTTTTTTGACATATGAAAACGTTTGTTACAAAAAAAAAAGAATATTAAATAAGTAATATAGAATAATATTTTAATTTGGGGTGCTATTCAACGCATTCCCAAACCAAAAGTTAAAGACCGATACTGCCTACAGCTGCTGGTAGGGCGGCCAGTTTATTGTTGATTGTTAATTGCTACAATTACGCTCATCGTTCGAGTGCGAAATTTGCAGCTTGTAAATATTTCGCTACTGTCTATTCTGCGGCATGCTTATGCTTTTTACCATTGTTGTTGTTGTTGTTGTGTTCTCTTTTGTTTGCCTTCTTGGCCTATGCGTGTCGCCACGGCATCACATTATTTTATAAATGTACAGTCGTCAAAATAGTTATTCGTACAGTGATTTTTTTACAATACATATTCGCAATATTTTCATAATATTTTTTTTTTCGTTAATTTTTCACGAAAATATAGTTCATTTCTAACAAAAATAATATTGATAAAATTTTCAAACTTTTTGCAGAGCTTAAAAAAAATTCATCAAAATTTGCAAATTTTGAATCAGAATATTTAGAACTAAACAATAGAGTTGCAGTTGTGTAGCTCATTCAATTATATTACGATAAAGTGCAAGTTATATATATATATATATATAAATTCTTTACATTCATTTACATTGCTTTTGTGAAATTCGCTGTTATAGAATATGAAATATATTTTCGGGAAAAATTAACAAAAAAATTATTATGAAAAAAACATTGCGAATATTGTAAAACGGCTATGTTTTTATTTTTTCTATGCCATTGGTTTCTAGCAGTGTAATATTTAGATCTATGTACATACATACGTATGTATGTATGTTCGGACGCACCATACACATATAAAATGACCACTGTTTTTCACACTTATTGTTTTTTTGTTTTTTTTTGGTTTTGTCCACTGCGCGGCGGTTCCTTTTACGACCATATGTAGTACTGTTGATGATTGCTGCACCGGCAACATTATCAGTAAAAGTGTTAATAAGAACATGTTTTCTCGAATACCGCTTTACGCTTAGCGAAATTTTTTCACCTAGGCGATACTTGAATGGCAATTACAGGGACCAGACTAGCGTGAAGAAAATATATTTGTGCAGATTTTAATAAGCTTGGACAGCAGCTGCTCATGTTTATGTTGATTTTGATGTTAGTGTTGAATGAAAGGTGTTGATACTTGTTATAAGAAAACAGCAACAACAAAGCGTATCATGTTTTGCAACAATGTAACGATGATCAAAATGTTCCCGTACATTATATTCCACTAAACCTTTTGTATTCAACAAGATATTCAGAAGAACGATTTATGTGCATATGTTTCATATACATGAAGATACATAACTTTGTCATTTATTAATGCTTTCTATTGAAATGAAAGGTCTTGAATTGCACCAAAAAGCACTTGTTATTCGAGGGATATAAAATTTTGTGAAGGATGCACAGCTGCATGCAAATAAGAAAAATGCAATAAATAATACCTTTTTTAAATTGAGGTGTTTAAAATTTTTTTCGAATTTCGAACAGGGACGAGCAACACGTCTCAAAAATCTATAATATTATTTTAATGGAAAATAAAATTTTTTGTTGAATAAATCCAGTGGTTTCGCAGGTTTTTTTTTCGAAGTACAGTACTTTTGACCAATTTTTTTTTATGGTCAAAGAGTAATTGTAGCTCAATGGCAATATTTTTCCGTGAAAGGGAATTTCTCCTATTTCTCCCCATCCATCCATACATCTAGACATTCTTCTAAGAGCCAGAGACAGTGACGAAGACATCAAGAGAAGTGAGAATATACATATGTATTAGTAAAACAAATACTACACTGTAAAAAATTGTAATTGTGTAAATTCCTAGCTAAAAGGTAGGTTACTGGTTTCATACCTTATTATTCGCGAAGAATCTTCGCTCAGATACATGCTCGATTATTCAACAAATAGTCTGTTTAAATTTCCGACTTTTTAGAGTGTAATATAGCTGCTGTGGTGTGCGTAAATTTACTACGAAAGTGCGTACAAGCTACAAAATACACATCTGCTGTTTGATTTCACCCATAGAATTGTGTAAAGCCTGTGTGTAAATAATCAAATTTTGCAATACATTTTTAACCGACTTCCCGATAAGCTAAAACTTTGAAACTTCAGTGCAATACGAAGGAGAAATTAATACGCTAGGTGGCGCAGGTATCAGAATATAGAAAAAATCCATATTTATGGTCCAATTCGGCTTATATTTAAAATGTGTATTACTTGCATAAAAGTTTTAATAACATAAACAAGTTTGTTCAAAAGATGGAGCAGGAGTCGACATTTTTGGATAATCCGTATTTATGATGAAATTTGTTCATATTTTAAAATCAATATTACTTAAATATAAAAAAATGACTGTAAACAATATTTAGCCGTTAAATCGTGCCGGGGCGACTCTTCTTTTTAACCTCTTATAAAAGCTTGTNTTTATGATGAAATTTGTTCATATTTTAAAATCAATATTACTTAAATATAAAAAAAATGACTGTAAACAATATTTAGCCGTTAAATCGTGCCGGGGCGACTCTTCTTTTTAACCTCTTATAAAAGCTTGCCTTTGAACATTTTTGTTTTCAATTACTTATTTCCATACAAAGTATGTTCGAAAATTTTTTTATTGAAGAAATAAAAAATAAATTGCCAGAAATAAACGGCAAGTCCCAATTTCTTTAAAGATTCATTTTATTTACTAAAATTTGATGGGTCTCAAAACTGCACACCAAAATTTTTTCTAAAAATTCAGACTGAAAATGTAAAATTTTGTTGAAAGCTTGCTGAACTTTATAATTTTTGCACATAGTTTGAAAATAGAATGTATATGTTTTTTTTGTTCAATAATGACCTATATAGAAATAATAAACGTTAAACAAGCAAAAGGAAAATAATTTATATTTTAGCCATTGCATATATAATTCAAAACATTCATATGCTTTGTTTGTAGCTGTGCGTATTTAATGATTATATTCTCGTACATTTCACAAAAATTGAGGCCCTATTTGGAGCCACCCTTAGCTTAGAATACTTGAAATATCAGTTTTTTCCTCAGTATTAAGAAATTTTCATTTAAAATCAATACTCACTTATAGCGCCCCGCGGCATCCAAAGTCAATTTCCGCAACACAAGTGTGCCATTGGCAAGTATTAAATACCTGGAAATTTGCGAAAGGAAATGAATTATTTGATTAATTTAACTGCTGAGTGTGAGTATAACAACAAATTTAAGTGCATACAGTGGCCGAAAAAGTTATAGCCGAACCATATTTTGACAAGCCTTAACATATTATATATATTTTTTTTTGTTATTTAATGTAAGCCCGTGAAAATCCAATTTTCAAACTTTGTGCAATATTTAAAAAAAACGACAGACTTTCTAAAACATTTTGAACTTTTTTAATTAGATTTTTTAAAAAGATTCTGAGTATGCAGTTGTGTAGCCTATTGAATTCTGGTAAAATAAAGTACAAGTATCAAATGGCTGAAAATTGCGATTGATTGTTTCGATTTTTTTTGTCCCATTTGCTTCGATATAACGAATACACAAAATTTATTTTTATATGGAAGAAAACCGTAACATCTTTGACAAAGAAAATTTCCATAGCCTACAAAACTGCATACTCAGAATATTTCTAGGAAATTTAGTTTAATAAAGGCTCGAATTATTTTTTTTAATATTGCAGAAAGTTTGAAACTTGGATTAACATGAATTTTGTTAAGAAATGCAAATTTTTATAAAACCATAACCAAAATTAAATAACAAAAAAAAATAAATATATGTTAAAACTTGTCAAAATTTGCCGCGGCTATATTTTTTTCGACCACTGTATGTATGTATGTAGGCACCAGTACATATGAATGTTTGTACGAGTTAGTAAATGAAATCGGAAACATCCACAAATCCGAAGCGGAAGTAACCAAGCCGACGCACAAGCGCAAACACTAACGAAAGCCATCTCATTAAATGCAGAAAGTAGCATTTATACGAGTATACAATAATTTATATTAAATATATATATATATATGTATGTATATATAGACCTATGGATTCATCTGCCTTTGCACAGTTAATTTTTATCACTTATATTACCGACAATCAATGCCACTTTCACTTCGCGTTGCGCTTGGTCGCTTTTAATTTTGGTCTTTTACTCGCCTGTTGTCTTCGAATTGCTTTGATAACGATACATTTCCATAGAACCAGGTAATATTTGCTGGCGGCACACTTATGACCGGACACTCGAGCGTGAGTGGACGACCTGTTGTGGCGGTTATATTGGCGGGAGCTGTTACGCGTTTAAGTACTACAAAAACATACAAAAAAGAAGAAACAAAATTATAATTTATGATGGAAATGTGTCTGCAAAATAAACTGATAATCTACTACTAAGTATACATACATACATATGTATGTAAGTATGTATTTACCAGGATATTCCACCGTGATAAGCTCCGACAACACCGCGGTTGTGTTAGCATTGATTTTACAACGATAAGCGCCAGCCGCCTTCTCCGTTGGTGGCAAGCGTAGTGTACCATTGCGATAGATTTTGAATTCGTTGCGTCGGCTGTGGGTCTCCACCACTTGATCATTGCGATACCAGGTGTAAAAGTAGTGTGTTTCGTCTGCAAAAATTACAAAAAAAAAAAATGCAAAGCAAAAGCAACAAAACAAAACACACATATGTAAATAAGTGTGTCTTCATTGAATGTTGGTTCATTCATTATTTTGCTCACTGCTAATGTCGTAGTAGTTCTCCTCAATGGTGGCAATGCACGGAAGATAATGATACAGATGATGTTTTGTGATTAACAATCTTGTGGTTTCTGGTTTTTCAAGTTGCAGAAATGGTCCAGAGATGATTGTATTACCGTTGGCGCTAACTGCAAAACAAAGAGCAAAAAAAAAAAAAAAAATTAAATTGAATGAAACATTACCTGAGAAAACATGAAATAGGAAATCAGTTGGCGACTTCATGAATACAAAATTAGATAATTAAAATATAAGTGCCATTTACCTCGTAGCTCTACGCCAGAAGGTAATACTTGTTTATTGGATAATAAATACTTAATTGTCAGCATTGCTTTTCAAAGATAAATAGTACTATGCACATACATATACCATATATATGAAGTACTAGCTGACTTTGAACTGAAACTAATAACGATTTTATGCATAAAGTTGTTGAAGTTCATTTCACATAATGATGGATTGCGTATTTGTTGAAAATTTCCGTAAATCAGCTATTGAGGCTGGCCATTTGGCCACATTGTTACGAAACTTTTTGCTTTTGTACTAAATTGTCGATTTCCAAAAAGTAAATATAAAATACAGGCCCTAATGAAACTATTCGGAGGCAAATAGGCTGATATAAAGAAACACATCCTTTTATATTTCGGCATCATCAATGCCGATTTTTTTATTTATTTTCTTTGAATTTCTTTATTTAGTTGTCAGATACCCTTATAGCTCAGTTAGTCTAGACTTAACTTAATTAAACTTACCGCAAGAAATCATCAATGATTACTCAACACGTCAACTTAAGCCAGAAGCGGAAATATTTTGTTTTTGTATTTTCTTTTTTAGGTGTTTAACAGTTAGCCGCCTAAAATGCCACATAAAAAAAATGCATGCAAAAATATGTTTGCGTTCATTTATTTTTAAGAAATACTAAAACGAATATCGGGCAAGCCTGATAAATCTGAAGCTTAGAATCTAAAATGTATAGGTTCTTAAGTTGCTTACGGTAGGTTAAGTTTTAACTAACCGCCAACCCAGTTTCTCATAAGTAAAATTCATACTCAAATCTCAAAAAAATATTAGATTTTCTGATATCTTTAAAACACCCCTAAAGGCATTTCTAACTTTAAATTAATTAAATTTAAACAGTTTTTTGCCTCCGTTGTAAAATATCAGTTTCCCCATTAGGACCTTATTATACTAAAGGAATTAAGATTAAAGGCCGGAGCACACAGATCTTTCGCGTTAGCGTTGGCGTTGATTAACATCTGACTATGCATAGGGATGCAAACTATGCATCAATGTTTTTAAAACGAGTGAGTTTAAGAGTGATGTTGCATCCCTAACTATGCATACAATATCAACGGCAACGCCAACGCAAAAGTTAAGGCACACAAAAAGCTGGGTATCTCTCGTCTTTTTGCGCGCGTTGTCAATCAGTTGTTGGAAATAAATAAAATTATGTGCAATATTTTTTTTTTATTTTTAATCAAATGTGGACAAGATATATCGTTTTTCATACAATTATTGATATGAAATATTAATTTATCTGTTGTTATTATGTCAATTTAGCGGTCAAAGCATTCGTTGTCACGCATTCATTATAGCAACGCCAAAGCCAACGCGAAAATTCTATGTGGACCGGCCTTAAGAGTTGATGCTTCCTCATTCTAATTCAATCTGTTCCTTAATTTTTTTTAGGCACTGATTATAGCTTAAGGAAGAGAAAAATATTTCAGTTCAGAAATATTTATATATATTAAAATATTTTTATATTGTATTATAATTTTCCATGTTATTATTTCAAAATCCTACTCGATGTTAGGTGTTGTGAGATGAAATAGTTCAAACTAAGTTCCATGTAAGTTATGTCGTGGAATTACTATCTTCTATCGATTTTTGGTCCATGAAAGTAAAATCTGACATTACTTCTACAGATCTGATTCATAGAAGTTATGTCACACATAAGCTCCATGATAATTTTGTCTAAAATGAGCCGCTCACTACATGAATTGAACAACTCCACTTTTTAAAGAAATCTTAAATTTTAGTATGAAAGCTGGCGCAAAATTAGACATTTTCACTTAAAACTTTTTGAAAAATTGTCAATGTTCCGAAATCTAGGACGATCTATATGAGATTTTTGTGTTTACCACTTCTTTCGAGCACAAGCGATGAATTTTAATTGCTTTATATTATATTAAATATTATTTATAGACTATTCTAAAGAGAAAAATTATAAGGCATTTGCTCATCAGTTTTGCGCAAGTAAACCATTATAAACTGTTTATGATTCTAACTAAACCAAAATAATTTTCTGGAATTTTCATTACAATTACTATGCTTCACAATGCAGGCAGAGCTGAATTTCTAATTTTATGAATTTTTTAAATTTTCATTTTGATAAATCGCATTTGATGCTATATTTCCTGATTTGAATTACGCATTCATATCATATGATTGCATTAGAAAAAATTATAGATAAATTCAAACCTGCTGCACACATTACTTTGCTTTTTAATTTATTCATACAAATGTACAAGTTTAAGCATTCCAATTGGCAGTACGCAAGTGTGGAGGCTTACAGCAAAGTGCAGTAGCATATCGCTAATCCATGTAAATTTTATTGCTTTTACACATTTATTTATAAGTATATAACTATGCACATAAGTATATTCATATTGACAAACACATTTAGGAACCTACTCACACAAATATTTTCCATATATATGAATGCATGTACGCGAGCTGTAACACCTCTAATACCTTTTTATGCGAAATACCTTTTAGCGAATCAACAACAAACAAATCGGCTCATAAAAATTTATGAATGTAAAAAAGTCGTAAAATGTGATTACTTATTTATTTATTTAATTTGTATTCGAGGTGTGCATAAATTTCAGGTAATTAACTTCTAATAAACAATATATTTTCCTAGGATATACATATGTACTTAGTTATACATATATGTATGTCTGTAACTACATACTCTATGTAAGTATATGCCCACGAAACATTTTCCATTGCGAATTAATATTCCATTACTCCCTTTTATAATAGTGCTATTTCCTTTTTGATAGTAAGCAAAACAATCTAATATTTAAAAGTAACCAGAGCTAAAGGCTCTGGTTAAACCCCAATGCAATACTCTATAAATCATAAAATAATTTTTAAAATCATTTTACAATTTTTTTTAGTAAAGCGGCAATCTATGTAAATATATATATATCAATTGTTATTAATATGTATTACTAATTAGCTCGGACCGAGAACAAAAGGTATGATCGAAACTAAATATCGTTTTCGTAGTTTTGTTTCCAAGAAAGCTTCAAAACCAATACCGAAAGGAGACAAAACGTCGAGAACATTCTCAATAGGAATTATATAAGAACCAAACTCTGTGGAAGGTCCCAAAGAGTACAAAGTGCGAACAATACTTTCGGTGATATTTCTAGGAGAACAAATTGGGAACAAAAGTCTCTGAGACGTTGTGGCGAAGAACAAAACGGGAATAAAAGCCTAAGGACTTTTTTCCTGAAGAACAATTTGAGCAACTTTATGGCAGAGAGCAAAACGGGAACAAACCTTTTTGAACTATTTACGAAGAACGAAAGCGAGAACAAAATTTGTCTCATAGCGTTCCATTAGTTTGAAATGCTTGAATGTTAAAATTAATAAAAAAAAACTGAAACATAACTAAGCAAATAGTGTCGACGAAAGACTTACGACAGGACTTTTCTTGCACAGAAAATTGAAAAATTGTTCTATAAATGCACAGTTTACCTAATGTTAAACGACCTGGAACGTGAAATGATCCAGCTTTGGTTTGGCTTAGAATTAACAATCGAGGTTCTCACCGAAACGATTTTTCATCCCAACTCGCTGGTGCCCTCTGAGGCTTAAAATAAAGGTCTCAAAACTTTTTTCTCTAGCAAAACGTTCCCCTTACTTTTGTTCTTATTTGGTCCCGCTGGAAAACGTTCTAGATACTTTCGTTCTTATTTTGTTCTCATTGGAAACGTTCCCGAAAATTTCGTTCTCATTCTGTTCTTCTTGAGAATGTTCCCGAGAGTTTTTTTTTCAAATTTTGTTCTTTACGGACACGTTGCCGTACCTTTTATTCTCATTTTGTTCCTGTTCAAACTGCTCTCAATACTTTTGTTCCTGTTTGGTTCTTTTGCGGTAGATTTAAAGACTAAGCAGATTTTCAGCTACAAACTGGTTACTCTTCCCACCGTGCGCCTTATATGCACTCATCCATGAGGTGCCTTTGCACTAGTTACGAAAAGTTAAATCTGAAGCACAACACCGGCGAACGACAAATATCGCCCAGCAGAGTGATGCCGACGTCCAACTTTCGTTCATCTAATTGTTTACTGAAACACTTATAGAGCGTTATTTAATTCAGAAAACTGTCACCTGATAAGGTTACTACGTTTCAAGAAGGAAGCTATTATAACGAAGAGAAAAAATACCAGCGAGAATAACTTTAATAGAGAAAATCGACTGCTGAGTGGAAGATCTACCTATTTCGGCAGCCAGTTCCAAAAACATCCTATCTCAAAAAACTTTTCAAGAACGCCCTATTTAAAAACTCAGTTCAAACACGCCCTATCTCAACACATTTTGAAGTGAGATAGGGCGTTTTTGAACCGAATTTTGAGATAAGGTGTTTTCAATAAATTTTTTAAATAGGGCTTCTTAAAAAGATTTTTGAGATAGGCTATCGAGATAGATCGATCTTCCACTCAGCAGGCGAAATTGTCTTTAGAAATAAATCTATCGTCGCGAACAGACGTTGAGCGAACTTCGTCGTTTGCTGTAGTTACGCATTATAATCTCTCTGACGCCGATATCTTAAATATAGGAGCTTTATTCCATCCCTAGGCTGCTGCAAAAGTGGTTGATTCACTTTGGAAGTACTCTGTTCGTCCACGAATTTACAGACTCCTGCCTAAACATTTTCAGCTTCTGCTGCCATTGCGGTATTCGGACTACCCAGAAAAAGCCTATAGGTCTGTGTTTTATGTTTTGTCAGTCATGGTCCTGGTTTTTACTTTCGTGATTTTAACAACAACAATTGTCAAGAGCTACTCTAAAATAGTAGTGAATTTATCGCTATTATGAGGGTTCTTTCTATTAT